TTTATTTTTTAATTTTTAAAAAGTCTATCAAATAGTTAAGGATTAATAACTGTTAATGAGTAACTATGAGCATAGACAAACTATGTTTGTCCCGGCCCTATCAAGTAAAAACAGTGTTGGGGTGTGTGAGTGAATTTAGCTGGAAATTCAGAGAAGCCTAGAGATGCTTTTCCTGGGAACAACTATATTAAACCCTTGGGAGGAGACCTCCACAGGGACAGTCTTGGTTTGTTTTTTTTGGGTCTCAAGTTTTCTACATTTTAAAGTGTGTGTGTGTGTGTGTGTGTGTGTGTGTGTGTGTGTGTTGTTGTTGTTGTTGTTGTTAAGTGCCGTCGAGTCGCAGGCGACTCATAGCAACCCTAAGAAGGAGAGTCCTCGACGCTTGGGCGCCTTTTATCCTCTCTCCAGGTTCATAGGGTTTCCGGAGGCAAGCTATTATGGAAGTGGATGCCACTCCTCCTTATATTTTCATGTTGTTGTTGTTGTTGTTATGTGCCATCATGTTGCCCTTGACTCATAACAACCCTATGTACAATAGCTTTGAACCCTGCCCTATCCCGAGCCAGTCTCACTGACTCTGTCATACCTAATGCCATTGCCCCAGATACTGTGGCAATCCATCTCATCCAGGGTCTTCCTCTCCTGTACTATCCCTCTATCCTTCCAAACATGATGTCCTCCTCATACTTTGGACATGTTGCTAAGAGAGGCTATTCCTTGGGAAGGTAGGGATATCATTCTTGGCAAGATGGAGAGTGAATGAAAAAGAAACAGACCCTCAGTGAGGTAGTTTGATATGGTTACTGCAGCAATGGGCTCAGTGTGTCAGACGATGAGAACAGCACAGGATAAGAAAGGATTCAGGTCTACTTGTAGGGCTGCTATGAGTTTATTTGCTTCAACAACACCTAACAACAAATGAGTTTTGACTCACAGTAAACGTATATAAATAAAAACGTTAAACACTTCCCAGACCTTCAACACAGTAATTGCTATGTTTGTGCTCACTGTTGCAGCCATTGTGCTAATCCATCTTGATGATCTCCCTCTTTCTACTCACCTTCTGCTATACTAATCATGATGACTGGTCCCTCAGAATAACACGTCCAACATGTATATGCTCCCCCTCCTCCCTCCCAGAATATGGGAGAAAAAACCCAAACCCACCCCAACGTACTCTTGAGGATTGAGATTTAAGACAATTTTCTACTTTCAAGATGCAGCAGGGATCTGGAAAGACAGGATAGTGGTGGGCATAGTTCAATATTGATTCATTTTATAAAATGAATGAGAATGATTGTATCAAACACAGTGTTAATGAAGGTTAGTGTGAAACACAATGTATATGAGCTTTGTAAGCAAACCAATATAAAATAAAAATGTATTTAAAAAAATTTTTAAAGAGTATTTTTGAAGTGACATTGATTTTTTCTTCCCCTGCTAATGTATGTTGTTGTTGTAGTATGCATTCAAGCAAGAATCATAGCCGACCCCAGAGTAGGTTTTCAGAGGCAGCAAATCTCATAGGAGAAGACTGCCCATCCTTCCCCTGAAGAAACAACAGGTGGTAGATTTGAACGATGTGCCTTTGGGATTGGAGTACGGCTTCTTACCACCGGGGCACCAAAGCGAATGTATAGCAATGTCAACTAAAAATATTCTTAATAGTGTCGGAGTCAGTGAGACTGGCTCAGGACAGGGCAGGCTTCAGAGCTCATAACAGCAGCAATAGTAAAATTGTATTAAATGTCCGCTTTCTAGGTTGCCCTTTAAAATATTAGGGAGAAGGGAGAATAAAAGTTTTGGTAGCTTATAGTTCTTGGTTTTAGTCCTAGGTCCATGATCCACCTTGAGTTGGTTTTTGTGTATGGAGTGAGGTGTGGGTCTTGCTTGAG